CCGTGTCTTCGGGTTCGCGTGTCCAGAGCAGATGAATGCCAGCTCTGAGCGCGTGGGAACATAACGGGCCGTCTCCAGTTCCCCAAGTGAGCGTTAGGATTTCCATGGGCCGCGCGAATCCCGCGGGCCGTGTGAACCCAGCCAGCCCCATGAACCCCACAAGTTCCACAAAGGGCTTCATGGGCCGAACGTGCGCCGCAGCGCGCATAAGCCCAACGCGCCGCGCTGGCCCAGCATGCCGCGCGGGCACCATTGGCCCCCTGACTCGCCAGGGCCACATCTGGTTTCTGAGCCTTGGAAACCCCGCGGGCCATGGGGGCCCCGTGGGCCTCAGGGGCGCCATGAGCTGCATGGGACGTTCCCCTATCATGGAAGCACCGTGGCTTGCAAAGTCGGAGAGCAATAGCAATGCGAGCCATCTCAAGCTTTCTTGGCTTCGTTGGGTCGCTCAGCCCCCACAGGGAAAGCGCTCCGAACTTTTCCAGTGGCGTCTTGGTGCTGGCGCCGGCTTTTTGTCCCCTGCAACATCAAAAAGCCGACGCCAGCACCGAGACCCCCACTGGAACGGCGGCCCCATGTGCGAGCTGACCCCCTCGACGATTTCGGAAGGTTGCCGCGGGCTGCGGGCTTGGGTCAAGAGGGGGCCGCGGTCTTATGCCCAGGCCGCGACGGGCGGCCACCGCCCCCTTTCGCAGAGAGCGGCGGATTCGAACTTGTCGGGCCTTGGTGTCGGGCCAGACGAGGGCCAGGGATGCGACGCGGGCGGACATAGGGTGGGCGAGGGGCGGGGGGAATGAGAGGGGGGCGGGCGGGCGGGGGCAGGCGTGGTGGAGGGCGGCGGTGGGGGGAGCGAAGCTTCAGCCATGGGGGATGCCGCAGCCTTCCCTCTTCTCTCCCTCTTCTCCCGAGAGCGCCCGCTAGTTTCGCTTCTCGCTTGCACTTGTTATTTCCTGCTATCCCTCCTGCGTGCTGCGCGACGTCTCCCTTCCCCCGTCCTCCTCGCCCACTCTGCGATTCCTCAGGCCAGGGAGGGCTCGCGCTGGTCCAAAACGCAATTCGACATTTCGTGAAACAAATATTTTCTTGGTGCTGGTGTCGGCTTTTTGTTCTCCCATATGATTGACCCCAGCAGATTGATAGGGTTGGCCATCAATGTGAGTTACTCCCCCCTGCTTCTGTATCTCGGCCCTCTCATTCACACCGCTCCTCGCCGGTTGGCGGTGCATTCTGTTGTGGCGAATGCGATGCAAGCCGGACAATCCATCCTTGCGGGTTGCTCACAGTCTCTGCCTTGGATTAAATGCTATTTGTGCGATATTCTGGAAGCTGCGCACTGCCGAGCCCCACGTGTTCCCATCTCGGCGTATGTTGACGATATCGCGCAGCGTATCCAGGGCGCCCTGGAGGAAGTCATTCAGACGCCTGTGCCTGCTGCCCGTGAGCTGTGTGGAATGTTACAGATGAGAGGATGTAAGATCTCGTCTAAGTCATGCGTGGTTGCGTCGTCGTTGCAAGCCGGTCGCCCCATCCAAGCTGTGTGTGTGCCAAATTCGGTGCCCCTCTCAAAGCTGTTGGCGCGGTGAAAAACCTTGGAGTCGGAACCGCGGTTGGGCGCAGACGGACAGCGTGGAAGATGGTGCAACGCCGAGGGGGGCACAACGACGAGGCAAGAAGCTTGCTTTCCTCGCTCATGTCAATCATGTCAATCCTTGTGCGCGCAAGCTTTTCAAGCCAGGAGTTGTTGCGTTTGGCGCGTGGGGCCTCCAAGTTCTGGGCGCCCCCCCCCCCCCCCCCCCCCCCCGCACTTGCGCCGACTCCGCGCTCGCGCTGGGAAGGCCCCAGGACGGTCGCGCGCTGGAGCGTGCACCTCCACCCTTCTGGCGCTGGACAAAGTTATGGTTGGTGGCCCTGCCTCCAAGCTTCGTTATCAAGCTCTGCTCGAATGGGGCCGTACCTGGGGTTCCTTTGATCCTAGCCAGCGCCTGACTGCGCGCGGAAACTGGCCCTGCATCCGGGCCGGGCTGTGCAATGTTCTTAAGGCCCACCGCTGGCGCCAGGTTCGAGGGCCCCTGGCGGCTGTCATTTCTCGATGTTCCCGAGCTCCACGGTAATCATGCTGAACCTCATGTTTGGCTCTTCCCGACTACCACCTGTAAAGTTGGAAAGGAGCGTTGGCTTTTTTTCCACCCGTGGAAAGTTGATGAGACAAGTACGTCGGACAGGCCCTCTGGGGCCAAGCTGCCCAGGCCTACGGCGGCCAAGGGCTGAGCGCTGGCGTTGATTGCATTGTCTTTCGGAACCTGAGGAGGGCTACGTGGCGGAGAGGAGACCGCGATGGAGTTTCGATTCTGAGTCGCCGAGCTGCTGGCGCACAGTGGCCTGGGCAGCGCCTGAAAGATTCTGGTTACGCCAGTACAGGTACATGCCCTCGTTGCGGAGTGCAGTCTGAAACGCCTTGCCTCAGGTTCTGGGAGTGTTCAAACAATGCTGAGATCGGCGACACCGCCCTCCACCTTACTGATAGAATGTGCCAAGAAGCTATGCGCCACCCCATCTGACGCTGAGTGTTGCTGGACTCGCGGGTTGGCGCCTCGTGGGTGGACCCTTGGAGTGCCCCCTGCCCCCGGGCAGGGGGCGCGGGCCTGGGGCCCCCTTCTGCGCTTCATAGCAACGGTAAGGTCCCTGGGGGCGTCTTTGGGCGCGATGGCTCTGGAGGGGCTTACGCCAAGGATTGGAAGCTTCGTCGGCACGGGTGGTCTGTTGTGCACCTCCAACCAGGATCCCTGCAGGTGAGTGGTGTCCTCTGTGGATCACTCCCAGGACCTGGTCAATCATCTCCTCGTGCGGAGGTGCATGCACTTCTCCAAGTGCTTACGCCTGGTGGACGGAGATGGTATGCTGTTTACCGACTACCTCCCGATTGCCCGTGCATTTGAAAGGAGTGGAGCTCAGGTAGACCAGTCGTGCGTGCTCGACCTGTGGCAGCAAGTATGAGATGCCATGGAGGAAGGGTCCTGTAATCTCACAGCTCGATGGACGAAGGGTCACCCGACTTTCCACAATATCGGCGATCGCCGCCTGACCCCCCAGGGATTAGTCGCCATCGGCGTTGCCGGCCAATTTGCGGGGGAAGTTGCCAGATGATGTGCCCTTCCTGCAGGCAAGTTACAGGAAGTCCAGAGTATCGATGCTAATTGTTTGTTGGTCCTCAAAAGATGATTGGTTGTCTCGCGGCATGTGTGCCTCACGTGCCCGCGGATGAGAGATGACCGCGTCGGCAGAGAGCACCACAGTGAACGTGGGCCCAGAGCCTCGAGCTTGCGCAAAGAGAGGTTGAGAGCTCAAGGCCACGACGTGGTGAAAGCTGGTGTTAACTTTAAGTGTCCGCGCTGCGTCCGCAAATTTTCTGTTGTAAGAGGCGAACTGTCTAAGTTTTGGCCGTGTCCGTGCCCTGGGGCGCTGGTGTTGGGACCCTCTGTTGTTGAGCAAGTGGGGCCCACCGCCAGTGCTGATTCCTCCCAGGGTTACCCCACGGCCCACCGATGTTTTAGTCGAGCGCATATGTCCCAGGCACTCGCAGAATTTCGTGGAGTCCTATTTTGTCGGTCGTGTGGGGCACTCGCGGTCAATAATGTGCAGAAGTTGGCCGCTGAGTGTCCACCCAAGCCCACGGCCACCAGACTCTCCAACCTCTCGCGGTTGGCTAAGGGCAAATCCCCGAAGAGTGGCATGCCCTTCCCCGCGCCCTGAAGAGGTTGGTTTTACATGTGAGGTTCGCCCTAATTCGGGGCTGACCGCGTAGGGCTGTGCGTGCACACGGGCGCCCCATAGACCCCGACAACCGGAATCCTTCTCCTTCCGCTATCGCCAGGGGATGAAGGAGCGGTCTCTTCCTGCTGTTCCTCCCCTTTCTGCTCCTCCTTATCCTCCTCCTCCTCCCCCTCCTCCTCCACCTTCTCCTCCTCCTCCTCTTCCTCCTCCTCCTCCCCGTTCCTCCTCCTCCTCCTCCGCCTCCTCCCCCTCCTCTGCTGCTGTTGCTGCCCAGCGTCGTCCCCGCGTTCCTTCCCCGCCCCTTTTTCCCCATACCCTCCCCCCATATTCCGCGCTTCTCCTGCTCTGCCCTCGTGCGCCCCCCCCCACCACACACACACACACACACACACACACACACACACGCACACAATGTGATGGCGGGCCTGTCCCTCTACAGGAGGAATATTCAAAAATAGCCCACGTAGTCCTGGAACGGTTTTCCTAGTTTATGACTATGTGTGAGTAGTTGTTGTTTATGCTTAATCTGTCTTTCAAAACCCGTCTGTAGGAGGACACGCCCGCCCGACCTATCCCCGATCCCCTCCTTCTCCTGTTCCTCAGCTCGCCCTCGTACGCGCCCTGATCGTGTCAGGATCGACATACAGTCAAGGCGCTGAAATCAGGAACCATATGTGTTCTGAAAGGGCTCGATGTTCCGTAGGTCCTTCCATGGCTGTTCCTCCAGCGTCCTCGTGAAAGAAGGCGGCTTTGGGGCCTACAAGGGGTTTCGTTCCTTATGCAGTGTTCCCTATGCCAGCGGCCCGACTGTAATCATCTTCGCTATGACCTTCGACATGTTCACCTTCACCGACGTCATCGTGAGCAAACGCCGTCGCCGTCACACACACACACAATCCCCACCGCCCACGTCGTCGTGAGCAGCAGCTGGCCTGCCAGTGCCCTCCTCTCCAAGACCCGACACACATCTGGCCCTCTCGGGCTCTATGATCTGGACTCCCAGAGGCGTCGCCCCCTCATCTCGCCCCCTCCCCCCTCGTGGCGGAGGACCTGGGCAGGCAGGTCGAGGAACGACGGGTGCGGGGGGGGGGGGGGGGGGAGGAGCTCGAGGACCCCCTCTTGCCCTGGTGCCGTCGGTTCCCTCCCAGCTTGTTGTGTTGCATGTTGAGCGCGATCGTGCCCGTTACAGTCGCGGGCGTCCCCACCGCACACATCCCCTGCGCCCGCAGGGATGGGAGGGCGGCAAGCCCAGCACAGAGCGCCCCCTGCGGCTGGTCGTCGTGGGCAACGGGCTCACCGACGGCATCAGCGACACGCTCACGGAGCTCGCCACGGAGACCTTCGACGACGATGGCGGCGATGGCGACATCGGCCGCGACGGCGGCGGCGACGACGACGAGGAGGAGGAGGAGGAGGAGGAGGAAGAGGAAGGAGGAGGAGGAGGAGGAGGAGGAGGAGGAGGAGGAGGAGGAGGAGGAGGAGGAGGGAGGGAGGAGGAGGAAGGAGGAGTTGGAGAAGGAGGAGGAGGAGAGCAGGAGTAGCAGGGGGATAGTAAGGTCAACCAGGAGGAGGAGGAGGAGGAGAGGGAGGAGGAGGAGGAGGAGGAGGAGTTGGAGGAGGATAATGAGGAGGAGAAGGAGGAGGCGGAGGAGGAAGAGGAGGAGGAACAGATAGGAGGAGGAATAGTTGGAGGAGGAGGACGAGGAGGAGGAAGAGGAGGAGGAGCAGGGGCAGGAGGAGGAGGAGGAGGAGGAGGAGGGGAGGGGGGGAGGACGGGTCAATAGGCCGGGGATGATGGCGATGAGCAGGGGATAGCATGGAGGAGGAGTGCGGATGGAGAGTTGAGAACGACGGAAGGAGGGCGGTGGAAAAGGTGGAGGAGCACGACGTTCAAAAGGAACATAAGCATCGTGTAGAGCCAGGATCACTGCGCAAAAGCAGGAAGAGGCATCTGATGAGTAGGAAGGGAAGGCTGAGCAAGAGAAAGCCCTGCTCGAGAACAGTAACCACCCACAGAGACGTCGGAAAGAGAGGAAGCGGTGATTAGGCACAGGACGACCCCAGACTGAGAAAGGATGCCGCGGTCTCATGGAGTAGCAATTTAGATTGGGCAAAGTTGCAGCCTCATGCTAATCCGATGCCATAGATGCAGGTCTATCCGACTAGTCGAGGAGTGCATCATTCGTTGGCAGCTCGTGTGATTATGGAGGGCTCTAGTGGTATGTTCTTGTTCAGGCCCGGATTGCAGATGGGTGACCTTCATTGGCCGTGCACTCCCGCATTAGGGGGCAGGCCAACCCAAGAAAGTGCAGCCAAAGCGGTCGCGGAATAGCAAAGCAGAATGAGCACGCACGGCATGCAGAAGGAGAGAGGCAAAGAGAGGATGAGGAAGCCAGACGGAAACCCCTACGGCAAGCCCGACGGCAAGCCCGATTGTTGCCAAACAGACCCAACAGACCAGGTTGCGGCAGCGGCCAGACGGCACGCGGCGCATCTTGCAAGGCGGGGAAGTGAAGCGAAGCGTGTGGCGCGCAAACGCACACGCGTTTTCTTCGGCAGGCCGTTACGCAGCGACGCGACCGGTCCAGTCCGTTAGAGCGCATTGGCAGTCGGCGGCACGCAGGGCAGGAGAAGCAGGAGGAGGAGGAGGATCGGAGCAGCGAGGGGGATTGGCGGGTCCCGCGCCATGGGCGCGGCGGCGGGCCAGCGATCTTTGTGCAGCATTTCTCGAGCTGGGTCCCGCCTCAGCGCGCACATATGGTTTGGTCTAGTGAAGATTTGCCCAGGTGGTCTATATTCTGGCCTATCCGCCAGTGCGTTGGTGGCCTATTTCCAGAGGATGCGAGTTTGGTGATCGATGGAACGGTTGATGGACAAAAACAATCTCTCGAGTTGAGCCCATGCGTGAGAGCATCGTGGACTCCACAGGGAACACAAATGCTGGTCATGCTGTTTCGCGGCGCCCAGATCTAGGAGTAGCCCACTCGCACACACGCGCGGTTTGGCTGCCCGACGGGGTCGCCTTCGAGGGTAGCCGAATGCGTGGCGCACGGAACGGACGAAGAGGAGGGGGCGGAGGAGGAGGAGGAGGAGGAGGAGGAGGAGGAGAAGGAGGAGGAGGAGGGAGGAGGAGGAGGAGGGGAGGAGGAGGAGGAGGAGTAGGAGGGAAGAGAACAGGGGGACAGGGGGGGCAAGGAGGGGGGCGAGAAGGGGGAAGAGGAAGGGGATATGGAGGGGGAAGAAGAGCAAGGGAGGGATGGGGTGCAGTTGGGTAGGAGAAGATAATGAGGATGAGCAGAAGGAAAGAGTGGGAGGACGAGGTGGAGTAGGAGAAGCAGCAGCCGGGAGCAGGAGGAGGAGGAGGAGGAGGAAGAGGAGGAGGAGGATGAGGAGGAGGAGGAGGAGGAGGAGGAAGAGTCCTATGACTTGGGGGAGGAGAAGGAGTAGCAGCAGGCGGAGCAGGTGGAAGGATCAGCATGAGCCTGGGGAGGAGGAGCAGCTGCCGGAGCAGAGGGAGTTGGCGGAGCAGCGGCAGGAATTGCGAGGAAGAGGAGTAGCAGCAGCAGCAGCAAGAGCAGGAGGAGCTGTGGCTGTGGCCAGGAAGCCTCGGCGTTTCGCCGTATCGCAGCGCGGTAACGAATGGCACTTCTCCTCCACGACTGGCCGAAGCTCGGCTTTGGCCTCTGCATACGTAGCCGCCCTGCACTTCCGAAGCCGATCGGAACGCCGAGTCGGGCGATTCGGAACCATGCAGCCATGCAGCCTTCCTCGGGCCCAGCAGAGGGACTCGGGGAGGGAGGGCCAGGAGCAAGGCGGGAGCGCGAGGAGCCACGGAAGCTTGAGCGGAGGAGGACAGGAGTGGCCAGCATTGGTTCGTCGAGGAGTGCAGTTGCAGCAGCGGGTGCAGAAAGTATGGGGGATTCGGTAGCAAATCATGGAAGCCCTGAATATGTTCGCAGTTCCGTCTTGAGGGTGCGTTAGCGTCGAGTAGCGTCCGGTAATCGATGGGATAGCGCCGATTTGGCGTCGATTAGCAGGAGAGTGCAGAATCAGCAGCAGGAGCTGGAGGAGAAGGAGGAGGAGGAGGAGGAGGAGGACAGACGACGACGACGACGACGACGACGACGACGACGACGGCGACGGCGACGGCGACGGCGACGGCGACGGCGACGGTCACGGCGACGGCGACGGCGACGGCGACGGTGATGGCGACGACGGCGAAGACGCCGACGCCGACGGCGATGCCGACGACGACCGCGCAGGCCATGGGTCACTGGACCTCTGTGCAGGCGGCTTCGTCTACCCACCGCCGCTGTCGCCGCCACCGCCGTCGCGATTTCCTTACGCCACGCCCTCCCCATCCTCCTTTCTCATTGGCCTTGCTCCTCCCCCTCCTCGTCCCCCTCCTCCTCCACCTCCTCCTCATCATCTCTAATTGGCCGTGCTCATCCTCCTCTGTTTGTTGGCGTTGGGCGGACCGTAATCGTAAGGTCGTGGCGTTTCTCTGAAAAAATGCGCAAGGCCGAGATAGGCAGAGCGCGGGCACCTTAGGCGAGGCCATCGCAGAAGATTAGCAGGACAGGGCGTGAGAGACAAATGCAAAGAAATAGGGCCAACGGATCGGCGTAGATTCTAGCCTCGCGGTGCTGGTGGGACACAGGGAGACCAACAGAGGATTCTAAGGACGAATCGCGAATCGATCAAAACCGAACAGGGGAGAGACCGACATACGCGTGCAAAGTGCTACCTGTAAGGTGGTGTTTGATTGGTTCCCTGTGTCCTTGTAGGGACGCAGTGTAGCTGGGCAGAAAGACTAACTGGATGGCAGTATGGTGACCCCCTTATCTATTGCCCCACCTTCGCCATCAGTACCGTAAAGAACAGGTGAATTTGGATGTGGGCGACTTGGACGGTGAGAGACGACTCCTAAAACCCTCTCAGGTGGAAATGCTGGTGGCACGATAGACAGCTGGCCCGCAGGCTTGGTGTGTGTGTGCTTGTGGTGTTGGGTTTAACGTGGGACTTCGCAGATTGGGCAGGCGTTACATTCAATGTTGTAGGCTGACACTGTGCAGGCCAGCAGATGATATGTGTACGTGCACCATCCCCCCCACACACAAAACCTCCCCCATTGCTCTAGCAGGATAGCACTGCAGTGCAGGGTGGCGGCATTGACATAAATGTGAGAGCTGGGGGCATGTCGTCCATCAGCCAGTTCAGTGAGAGTGGGTGTTGTCATCTGTGATGTTGACTGGCTCGGTAACTGCAGGCTGGCCTACGTAGTTGTCCTTGGTATTGGCACGGTAGGCCGATCCTGTCGGTGCATGCCGGCCTGGGTTGAAGTGTTGCACACAAGCTCGCGAGTTCTGCTCCCCCCGCCATCGCCCCAACCTCAGATACGCAAACCCGTCGGTAAGGTTGATCGTGCTGGTGTATAGGCAGCCTTGTGAGACATTGGAGTCTGGCGTAGTAATCGGGCGTACAGTTAAATGAGATCATCAGTATAGGTTGTATTGTAGAAGGTCACGATGTGTGATAGGCGGCTTGCTTGAAAGGTTGCCCTAGGTAACCGCGTGTCTATGGCTGTGGCTGAACGTCCGTAAGAGTGGCGCAGATGCACAACCACGGTTGGTAGGAGGTCCTGGGGGTACGAGGAGGGTTGCTGCACAGAGACCCGTGGGAGGGATTCGTGTGAAAGCTCAGGTTGCGCACGGACTCTCGCAGGTACCGAGTCCCGCCCAGCAATCTCCCCAAAGGCCCCCATGATTTCTTGTCCCGTAAGTTATGCAGGCTGTTGCCGATGCAGGCGCGGTAAAAGATCGAGAGGGTGGAGATGGGAGAGGAACAGGAAAGACGGAAGGAATATTTCTAGAACGCCCAACCCGTAGTGAGCACCATTGGTAGCCGTAAGTAGGTTGGAAAAGAATGTGACCATTTTGGAGGGTAAGTAAGGGCAACGCATTTAAAAAGGGCAAGTGTGGGTATGCTGGCCACATTTACTACTCGGCAGTCCACAGTGGGGGGGGGGGGCACGGACCTACCCCATGTCGAGGGCCAGAGTCGCCACTGTAGCATCACGTGTGACAAACGTAGGTGATGCAACTCGAGATATGGGATAGACTGACAGACCTGTTCGTGGTGTCTGCACGCTGGCACAAGGTGACTGGCTGGCCTTTGGCTCCAGAAGTCCTCCTCCTCCTCCTCCTCCTCCCGCTTCCCTTAACCCCCCACCCATCTCTTCCAGCCAAGCTCGGGTCCGCCTGGTTCGCGTCTGGGGCGACCCATCGAGGTCGTTGGTGTCATCATCGTTGTGTTGTTTCTCTCTCCCTCTCTCTCTCTCGACTCTGGGTCAGTCTCTCCTCTTGTCCGTCGTTCTTCGTTGGCTTCGCTCACCCGTTTCTCCTCTGGGACTTGCCTCTTCGGGGATTGGCCCGTCCATGTTCGAGGCCTTCCTCCTCCCCGCTCCTCCTGAGGAGGGGAAGGACGAGGACGGCGGCGGCGGCGGGCGGGCGGCGCAGGTCGACAAGGTGACCACGGCGAACTTCAGCCTCGGGGACGGCGGCCTCTCTAAGCGGCCAGGAATTGCACTGCAGCCTCCTGGCCTCCAAATGCGGCAAGGCAGGATTGGAAAGTTCGCAGATGTAAGCCCCGTTCTGAAAAAAAGACATCACATCTTGGAATGATATTCGAGTACAGTTGAAACAAGAACCACACTTCTTGACGCTTCGCGTATCCCCATCAGCCTGCCGCCTGACCGCGGCCCCGCGCGCGCCCGCCCCCCTAGTCGCGGCCGCAGCCCGACCGTGACCAAAGCATATCCCCAGCAGCTCATCCAGAAACGATACCCTTGAGGGTTGACGGGGAAGGTTGAATGATGTTGGCCTCTTGGCGGCCTCCTGGGGAGGCTTCGTCGCAATCTTGAGCCGTCTTGGAGCGGTCTTGGGGCCCCTTGGGGCATCTTGGGAGCCATGAGCCATCTTGAGCCAGCTTGGGCTCTCTGAGGCCGCTTGGGGGCCTCCAGGGTGCCTCTCGGAGGCCTCTTGGGGCCTCTTTGGGCGCTCTTGGAGCCCTCTTGGGGGCCTCTTGGGAGCTCTGGGGGGGGGCCTCTGGGAGCCATCTTGGAAACGGTCGGTCAAGCTCCCCCCCTCGGGGGTCACGATCTTCGTGAGGAGTGTAAACAGTGAACCTCCCAAGGGCCGAAAAAAGATCCTCTGACACATCGGCTCCCCTCCAAAAAAATCCAGGGAGGGGGAGGGTTCCCCTTCCCGAAGGGAAGAGGGGTCGCGGAAGAGGAAAGAGACCCGCGTTAGACCACCTGTTGCACAGAGGGCTGGTGGGATTGCAAAAGGCGCGGCCCTCCACCCGTGCAGATGTGACACATTCACAAGTTTTGGGCCTCTCAGTGCGAGGAAGGCTCAGGCGAGAGCGCCATTTTGACAAGGAGCCGTCCTCCATCCTTCTAGCTGCTGCAAGTTTTCAAGACGAACGCGCGCGGCGCTGAGACAAGAGCCCCAGGTTGCGCCGACCTCCATCCTTGAACCTCTCAGATGTAGCTGCTGCAATATGTTCAGACCACTGCGCGCGGCGCTAGGGCGATTTCCTCATTCTGAAATCTGCACGTCCTCCATCCGTGACGCTCTTGAAGTCGAAGGCGCGTTGCGCTAGGGTGAGCGCGGCATTCTGAAAGCGAACCGGGGCCGCCCTTGAAGCTGTTACACGTGTTGAAGACGAATATGCACGGCGCTGGGGCGAGAGCCGCATTGTGGCGGTGCGACAGGGGCGATCTAGTTATATGTAAGAAGGCTGGAGGGTGGAGGAAGATGAGGAGGGGGAGACGAGGAGGAAGGACGAAACGAAGGCGGAGGCAGAGACGAGCAGGAAGAGGCGAAGGCGGTGGCAAGGAAGAGGAAGAGAAGGAGGTCGAAGCATTGGTGGCAGGGGGGGAGGGAGGGAGGGAGGGAGGGAGGAGGTGGGACGGAGGAGTCGGGAACGGAGGAGGGGCGGGCTAGAGGGAGGAGGACGAGGCTAGTTCTTCCGCGCTCGCGCTCTCCCTCGCGCGCGCGGGATTTCACGCCAGTCTTGAGGGCCTCTTGGGCCGTCTTGGAGGCCTCTAGGGCCGTCTTGGAGGCCTCTTGGGTCGACTAGAACTTGCTAGAACCCAAGCGTGTTCGAAGCGCGCTGGTTGTTCGATTGCAAATATGTATGTATATATATATACACATATATATACAAGCCGATAATTGTGTATATATATGTATATCTATATATGTATATACAAGGGCTTCGTATCACACACCCCTACTCCTCTCTCCAAGTCTCTTCATGTTTATTTCCCTCCCCCACTTCCGTCTTCTGCCTTCCCCTGACCGCCCATCCCTTGACAGTACCCCACCTTTTGCTACGTAGAACCAAACTCTCACTAAGCCCTTGGAGATTGTCAATGTCGTGTTCAGCATCTCTTCCCCCCTGTCATGTTCTCCCTCCTTCCAGCGCCCTACCTTCAAATTCCCCCCCCCTCCTCCCACATCCCTGCTTCTATCCGCGGTGGAAGCGTCTGCTGCCTAGGAAGACCAGGCCAGCCTTCGTTGATGGACCCGGTTCGCAAAGGCAAGTTCCCAGGCCACCAGACCAACCGACGGCAGTCACAGGGCTAGCCCACGTGTGTCTCCCCATGCCCCCAGTTTAAGATCCAGGGGAGGGGCCAAGGTCTCGCAGCTGCCAGTACTCGTGGACAGACCTGTTGTTGGAAGTGCGGGCGCCTACGGTCCATAGAAAACCTTTGTCGGAAGGCTGGAGGTTGGGTTGGCCGGGCCGTGCAGAAGCCCCCCCCAATACTCTGGACGCCCGAAATGGGTACGGAAAGATTGGGCACAATGCCGAACAGCAGTTCTTGTTCATTTTGAACAGGATTCGCTGTCCACGCCGCCGCTGCCTGTGTCCATTCGAGACAGAAGGCCGCCTGCCCAACAGCGGCCGCTGATGGTTTGGGGCAACAATTGTTGTTGGGCATTGTACAATTTTTTCCGTACCCATTTCGGGCGTCCAAAAATGCCGGCAACACAAACGCTTGAACCAAAACATGTTTGGGGGGTCCTGCCCACGAGTGGTAAGGCCATTTCTCCCAGTGAAACTGGTAGCGTCCAGAGAGCAAAAACAGCCCAGAACGCATCGCGTCGCAGGGGTTGGTTCCAGTCTGTTCCTCTTGCTTTTCCCAGCGAGAGATGAAGCCAGGTAGCTAGTTGTCCAGTGATTGTCCCGCCTCCCTCCTTGTCCCCTTGCCCGCGCTCGTTCCCTTTATCTTCCTCCACTACCCTTTCCCCTTCCCCCTCCCCCATCGAACCAATCCTCCACCACCACTTCACCTCCCCCTTCCGTCCTTCCCCATCCTCCCCGTTGTTTTGCCCTTACCCTGCCAAGAGGAGGAGAGAGGACATAGGCAAGCTAGGTGCGCCCGCGCCATATCTAATATACTATCCCTCCTTCCCACATCTTCCCATAGCGCTGATTTGTTTCTCTACCCGCGGACGCGTATCATAGCCGACCTGGAACTCCATCACCCCAGCAAAGCACCGCAATAGCAGCAAAGATGGCCTGCGGGGCAGGTGGGAATTGTGGGACTTGTGTGATCTGTTGGACCCTTGGGATCTGTGTGGTCTGTGGGACCTGTTGAGCAGGTGGGAACTGGACCTGCGGGACGTGTGAGACCTGTGCGACTTGGGGGACATCTGTGGCCTGTGGGGACTCTGAGACTTTCGACACTGGGGGGGGGTGCGACTTGCGAGACCTGCAAGACATGTGGGACTTGGGGACCTGTCGGACCTGGGGGACCTGTGGAACTTGTGGGAACTGGGGGACCTCTGTGGGACCTTTGCGAAATCTGTGACATTTGTGGGACTTGTGGACCAGCGGGACCTGTCGGACTTGCGGGATTTGCGAGACTTGCGACATTTGAGGACCTGTGGAATTTGTGAGACGTGTTGCACGATCAACCCGCATGGTAAGGATGGGCATTCTCCCCAAGGGTACCCTTGCATCCTTGCCTCCTCGGTCCAACCTTTGCCACTTCCGTTGGCCGCGCGTCGCTCGAAAAGCTTCGACACGGCCTTCCAAGGCTCCGCACCCTTACCGCGCGTCATTATGATACGGGTCGGCTGCACCTGTAGGACTTGTGGGACGGCCTGCGACACTTGTGGGTCCCGTGGGACCTGTGAGGCCTGCGAGACCTGTGGGATCCCCAGACTGTTTCAGGGGAGAGAGGAAGTGGAATTCATATGGAGTAAGCATAAAGAGGAGGGGGAGGAGGAGGAGGAGGAAGAGGAGGAGGAGGAGGAGGAGGAGGAGGAGAAGCAGGATGATGAGGCGGACAAGGAGGTTTGGGAGGGGGAAGAGGGGGAGAAGGAGCAGAGGCGGAGGAGATGCAAGACAAGAGGCAAATGTATATGCGGACGGGGAAAGAGGAAAAGGAAGCAGGAGCAGGGAGAAGGAGGGAGGAGGGATGAGGACGAGAAGGAGCGGGGGGGGAACGCGACGAACGAGGGAGAAGGAGGTGGAGGAGGAGGACACGCGAGAGGAACGATGAAGAAGGTATGGAGGAGGAGCACGGAAAGGGTAGAGAGGGATGGGGAAGAGGAGGAGGAGGAGGAGGAGGAGGAGGAGGAGAAGAAGGAGTCGCCCCTCCTCCCTCCGCTGCCCTTCCCCGTTCACTGCCCCGCTCGCGCGCGCGCGCCCGACGGCGGGGTCGGGCGGCTCGCACCCCACGACCGCGTGCCCGTCTCCTCCGCTGCCCGCTTCCTGCCCGCGCCTCCTCGCCTCCGCCGTTCTGCAGTGCCGGTTTTTTTAACGCATGTTCCGCGTGCGGATCATGGATTACAAATGCAGGGCTTTTGTATTCAAAACAACGGTCGAGTTCATGCATGAATTCGTTCACACATAATTGTGTGTTAAGAAGACAATATGTTTTTAATCCTTAAAAGCCGCCCTGTACTATCCTCCGGCCATGTTTGTGGTGCTGGGGGAAGTAAGCATTGTCGACGGCACCCAGGCGGACTAAGACAACCTCCTGATGGGCGCCATACCCCCGTGGCAGGCTGGGCCGATGCGCTCAGCGTTGGTGGCCGCGGGCTTCCAAGCGAAGTGCGTGCCGCTTCGGTTGAGGGAGGAGCAGGACCGTAGGACACCCGAGATGTCTGAACCGATGCTGCAGTACACCCATCATGCCGTCCCGAGTTCTTTCCTCACAAGGCACTCAAGCATGCTTCTCACTGCACGAAGCTTCCCCCCCCCCCGGAAGGCGAGCGCCCCATGGGACCGCAATGCATGCGGGGGTTCACTTTTGATCCTCCTCCTTCTGCTCCTCCTCCGCCTCCTCTCCTCCTAAGCGACCGCTTCCCAGATTTCGAGCTCTCACGGAAGCGAGAAGCTGGGCCTTCGAGCTCGCATGAGGGCGACTAGGTGGCGTCATCAAGTTCAAGGAGGTATTTAGCGGCAGCCCTTTTTTCGATACGTACACCCATCTACATCCGTTTCGTTGTTATATAGTAAGGCTTATATAGTAAGGCCATTTTGCGCGGCGCAAAGGCGACATCCCCATGTTGAAAGCGATTTCGCGTTACATCTGTGCAGTTAAAGGAACATCGTATTGCGAGTGCGCGCGTCGCCCAAGCAAGAACCCCCATCTTGAAAATAATGTCATCCATGCGTGTCAGCGCTGTACGTTTGCAGCGAGTGCGCGCGGTGCCGAGGGCCAGAGCTCAATTTTGATAACGACTCGCCGTCACAGTGCTTCCAAAAACCGCCTGTACGAGGACATGCCCGACCTACGGCTAGTACATCGTTTCCGCTCCTCCCCCTCCCTCTCCTCTTTCTCCCTTTTTCCGATCCCCCTTCCTGCGCACCCGCAGTCTTTCCTCAGTTTCCTCCCCACGGCTCTCCGCCTTCCCCCCCCGTCCTCCTCCTTCCCCCCCGCCTCCTCCTCCCCTCCTCATCCTCCCTCCCTCCCTCGTGCTCATCCGTCACCCCCCTTCTCCCTGTTCCTCGTCCTTCCTCCTTCCTCGTCCTTCCTCCTCCTCCCCCCCCCTCCCGTCGCTGACGCCGTTGCCCCCGCGGCCGAGGCACTCGAGGAGGACGAGGAAGACGAGACAGGAAGGCGGCACTGCCCGACCGCCCGGCCCTGCCCCCCTCCGCCCGCACCCCTCCGCGCGCGGAGGACCACATGGCGGCCGCCAGACAGGACAGGTCGAGGTACGTGCCCGAGGGCGTCAGCGCCGTGATATTCCAGGACGCCGCCCTCCCCGAGGGTCGAGAGGTCTGCGGCCACCGTGGTCGGTGCTCGGAGGTTTCCCGGCCTCCGCAAGCTCGCTGGCAGCTGCGCCTCGTCGGGGGGCGTTCCAGGGTGCCCGGGTCGTCCCGAGCGGCCGCTCGGAGCCAGGCGGCCTGCAGGCTGCACTGCGATCCGACAGGACAGGCGCGCAGCGTCCGGGGGCCGACGGGCTCCGGAGGGGGGTCAGCGCGGAGGTGCAGTGGAGGCCTCCAGGGTGCCATGGGTTTCTTGGCTCTCGGCGGTTTTGCTCAGGAGAGCGCGACGTTCACACACCAAAGATTAAGCGACGGCGGCGCCGGCGACGAACGCCGACAACCGCGGCGGCGGTGGCGGCGACTCGCGATCCGCGGAGCCGCCATATGCCCCTGTAGGCCTTTCCCACGGGGCCCCCTTGGGGCCCCCATAGATTCCCATAGGCCCGGGCAGGCCCGTAGGTGCAGTGGAGGCCTCCAGGGTGCCCTGGGTTTCTTGGCGCTCGGTGGTTTTTGCTCAAGAGAGCGCGACGTTCACACACCCCCAAAAATGAATGGACGTCCTGGGGTCTCAGGCTCAGGGTTGGGCTTCCTGTGTAATGTTTCCTGTGGACTGGCCTCCACTGTACGCGCGGGGGGGCGTCAGCGCGCCGATGCTCCATGGTGCCGCCCTCGGCGAGGAGCAGGGGCAGCATCATTAGATGCTCATTGGAGGGAGGGCCTTCCTGGGGCCCACCTAACGTATCTGCTTGACTCCAGTTCGGTTCAAATTCGATTCGGGTTCGATTCAGGTTCGATTCAGGTTCGACTCAAGTCGAGGGACCTTCGACACAGCGTTGACGCACGGGTTGGAGCGAGAGGCTCCAGGAAGATCCCCAGAGTGAGCATCTAAACGTTGGAGGCGGGTACAATCAACCCGCATAGTATGGGTGAGCGACCTTCCAAGGTTACCCCTGCATCCTTCCCCTTCGGCCTACCCTTGGCCGCATTCGCTGGCCGCGCCTCGCCCGCAAAGTATCGACATGGCCTTCCAAGGTCCTTGCATCCTTATCGTGCGTCCTTCTTCATGGAGGGACCCGTTCGGTTTCCATTCTGGTTCGGCTTCATTTGGCCAGTTCGGTATCGGTTGGTTCGGTTCGATTGGTGATTTTTGGGGCTGGTACCGGTTCGAATCGGTTCCGGTTTTCCGAACGGTAGGATCGGTTTTTGTTCGATTCGGTGTTTGTACGAGTCGGTTCCGGTTCGGTTCGGGCTTCGGGGACGTGGGGCGGGGACCTTTGGGGGTATATGGTGGCCCACGGGGGCCTACGGGGCCTATGGCGGCTTACGCGGGCCTACGGAGGCCTTCGGGGGCCCACGGGGGCCCACGGGGGCCCATGGGGGCCTATGCGGGCCTAAGGCGGCCTAATGAGGGCTATGGGGGCCTATGGGGCCTAAGCGGGCTTGAGGTGGGCCTTTGGGGGGCCTATTGGGGGGGCGACGGCAATGGCCGGCGACGGCGCCGGCGACGACGCCGGCGACGACGACGCCGACAACTGCGGCGGCGGTGGCGGCGACTCGCGATCCGCGGAGCCGCCATATGCCCCTGTAGGCCCTTCCCGTGGGGCCCCCTTGGGGCCCCCATAGATTCCCATAGGCCCGCGAAGGCCCGTAGACCCCCTTCGGCCCCCATAGGCTTTCGTAGGCCCCCATAGGCCACCACAGGCCCCCATAGCCTCCCAGAGGCCCCCATAGGGCCCCTTAAGCCTCCTCAGGCACCCACAGGCCCCCTTGGGCCTCTCTTGGGGCCCCCATCGGCCACCTCGGGGCCCCCATAGGCTCCCTTAGGCCCCATGGGCGGCCCCCATAGACCCCCATAGGACCCCTTAGGCCCCCTGAGGCTCGCATAGACCTCCTTGAAGCCCCAATAGGCCTCCCCACAGGCCCCTCGGGCCCCTCGGGCTCTTCCTCCCTCTGAGTCCGAACTTGGGGGAGATGTCTGGTTCCTTTTCGGTTCCAACCGGTTCGGTTCCGGTTTTGGTCCGCCGGTTCGGTTCTGGTCTGGTTCTGGTTCGGTTCCAGTTTTGGTCTGGTTCGGTTGTGTGGGCGGATCCCGTTCGGTCCGGTTTGGTCCGGTTCGGTTACAGCCGGTTCGGTTGTGTGCGGACCCGGTTTGTTCCGGTTCGGTTACAGTTCTCGGTGCTTGGTTCGGTTTGGTCCCTTCATGTGTATTGTTGACGTTTCGCGTATCCTCACCAGCAGCCGTGCTTGGATGGCCCACCTGCAGGTTCGGTGGCTCCTCATGTTGCGCGGGTTGACGGCCCCTGGAGGGCAGTTCGCTTCGAGTGGTTCAGCCTTCGCAGCCTCGGCCGCCCCCCGGGCCCGTCCCACCCCCGGTCTGATATTCGACGTTCCTCGGCGGAGCAGCTCAGCTGGCTCGCGCACGCCGTTGGCGCGGCCTGGGCTTGGCGCCCCATTGGCGATGGCCCATCGCTTACCACGTCTGGACACTCCGACGGCATGTTAGACGCGCCGCCCACAGCTATCGGCCTCATGCTCCTTCGGGTTTTGCCACTCGGCACCTCTTGAATTCACCAGCATTCTGCCGTGTTGCAAGTGCTCGAGCACCCTGGACGCCCCCAGCCTGCAGCTCCTCCCGCGCAGTCAGTCGCTGCTGTATGACTGGGCCGGCCGGCTTGCGGCGCGTCTAGCTGCTAATTAGGCCGCTGTCGTGACCCGTAGCGCTCCTGACTCCGCTTGCGCATTCGCTTGCGGACGCGACCGAAAAATGTATCCTCACCAGCCCCCTCTTTCTTTTTCATGTGATTGTCCTCTCTCGGTGCGCGTAAGTCAGGCCGCCGCTTGCTCGTTGCGCCTCTGACGCCGCCCGACTTCCCTCGACGCGGTTGCGATCAAACAAGTATCTTCAACAGCCCATCCAGAAACAATGCCCACGAGAGTGAGGGGGGGCCAGGGAAGTGTAGGAGCAAGATAGGGGGCAGCCGTACGGGGGGGAGGATGGAGGAGTAAATGGAGGAGGAAGACAGGGGAGGGGGGAGGAGGAGGAGGAGGAGGAGGAGGAGGAGGAGGAGGAGCAGATCTTTGGGCCGGGGCCCACCACGGACTTGTCGACATACCTCCACCGAGCGGAGTCCATACATTCGAGGCGCTCCATGGAAGGATCGTTCGGAGCGAACAGTTCATCCCAGGTCATGATCTCAGTATTTGATGGCCCTCAGCCCGAAACCGACCTCCAGAAAACAAAGAGGTGGAAAGTTGCAGTCTCCATGATAATATGGCGAAGGTTGCATCTTTTTTGAGATGAAACGATGCCCCGAGACGTGCCGTGGGTGCGCTTTGGATGTGGTTGTCCGAGGGACACTGGCCGTGGCGCCCAGAAGTTTCGTGATCTGGGTAACGCGTGAGACACCAGCACCCGGTGGGCCATTTTCTTACGGGATTTTCCGAACAATGCCCTTGGCATCGCTCGGACGTGTGTTTTTTTCTTCGGCGAGGACCATCGAGGAGCATCCTTGATCATTTGGCGAAACAGCCACGCACGAAACCGAAACAAAACTCAGGGAATGGACGTCCGAGCGATGGCGATGGCCAGGTCCCAGCGTTTCAATTCTTTACGGGCCGGAGTTCCGGGACCCGCACCCGCTCCTCCCAATTTTACATGCGGCGTCTTCGAGCAGGGGCGGGTCACAAGTGTACACAACTCCTGCGTGACAGGAGCCGAGAGACGGAACCCGAATCCCGGACCCGTCTTCAGAGGTCTGCTCCGCCAAGCTGTGGCAGCCGGGCCCAGCGACGACGGCACGCCGACGCGGTTCGGCCAGCATCGGGCTCACGGCTGTAGTGAGTAGTGAGTAGTGAATGGTGAATAGTGAGTAAATAATAGCGAGTAGCGAGGAGTGAGTAGTGAGTAGTGAGTAGCGAGGAGTGAGTATAGTGAGTAGCGAGTAGTGACTAGTGAGTAGTGCGCAGTGAGTCGCGAGTGGTGGGTCGTGCGGGCCTGGGCGGCGCTGGAACGTCCGAGGCCCCGGGGCGCGGCGGCGTGCGCCTTCGAGCAGGGCCCGGGGTGGGCCTCGGGCGCGCGGGGGGTCGAGCGAGGTCAGGGGGGCTCGCGAGACGTCGGGCCGGCCGACGGTCTGGGGCCCGAGGGTGGATCACCGCGGAGCCCGAAGCACCCCGCATCCTGTCCACATCCTGCCCCCCTACGTCCTCCTTGCAGGGGCAACGATGAGGGGGGATAGGCATGGGGGGGGGGATGGATCGACCCCCAATCGCCCATGGATCGCCGACAGGGGCACGAGAGCCCAACCTGCCCGGGAGGTTGCGGATTCATTATCGGAGGCCTATCGCCGATCTATCGGCGATGTATCGCCGATTCCAGGTCGATGCATTCCCCCCTAATGCCGCTTCCCCCCTTATCGTTGCCCCTCGTCCTTCCCCTCCTCATCCTCCTACGTCTCCCTCCTTATCCTCCTCCTCCGCCCCAGGCAGGCCCTTGACTAGTACAGGGCGCCCGCATACATGTTCACCGCGGGGGCCTTGAACTGTATTAGCTGCCATCGGGCCGACTGGGACTCGCCTCCGATACCTCATATTCTAGTATCTTCCCTTATCCGTCTACCCCAGATCCTGTCCATCAGCTTTCCCCTGGTGGCCCTCTGCATGGCCAAGGAGGCCTCGGGAAGTATAGGCCGTCTCCGGAGGCGGCCAGAGTGGAGCGGAGCCCCTTGGAGTCCGAGGCCCCCCCTTCTCCTGCCCCTGCTCCGACCCCCTCTTCTATCCACGACCCTGTCAATCATCTTATCCCTCCTCACGCTCAAGGTTCTCTGCGACGAGGGTTTTGGGTGGTTTTTTAACAGGACTCCTGGATCCTTCGTGGCGAGAGTGTTGGCAAGGCTTTTTGTTTGGAAGGTTCCAGGAACCCAGGATTGTTCGTGACGAGGGTTTTTTGTTGAAGGTTTTTTGTTTGAAGGTGCTGTAAGGACGAATCGCTGGAAGGACGTTCCGGCCGGGCTCCGCCGGAACATGCTGAGAAGAGTCCGCCGGAACATGTTGAGAAGAGTCTGAGAAGAGTCTGTGTGTTTTTCCCACAGTGTGTTTTTGTGGAAGGTTTTGTTTGAAGGTGCCAGAGCTCCCGCGGCGCCAGGAGCAGAGCGAGGCCCCGGGCTTCTTCGACTGGGCCCGCCGCGAGGGAGGCCCGCGCCGGGCACCGCCGCCGCCGCCGCCGTCGTCGTCATGTTGCGCACCCGTTCGCCGTCTTGGTGCTCTTCGTCGTCGTCGTCGTTGTCGTCATCGTCGTCATCGTCGTCGGCGTCGTCGTCGTCGTTGTGCTCGGGGTCTGTCGGGAGCATGGGTGGAGGGGCGGGGAGGAGGAGGAGGAGGAGGATGAGCAGGAGGAGGAGGAGGAGGAGGAGGAGGAGGGAAGAGGAAGTAGGAGGAGGCGGAGGGAGAGGAGGAGGTCGGGTGATGGAGGGAAGGGGGTGTGGGGACGCAAGGGCCACGTGTTGTTGACGCATGCCGGGGCTTGTCCAACAGCCTTACAGCGCGCCCATGTCATGTTCGGGTGGGCGTTTTATGGTTGCCCGCAGTTCCATGCATTTTCAGTGCACGTTGTACTCGCGTTTCACCTTCGGCTCGGCCCCGTCTCTTCTCTGACTTGGCTCCTCGGAGGCATGCCGATCCATGTTCCGTGTTTCCCCCTCTCACGCCTTGGAAGGGAGAGAACAGGGTATTAATGACATGGAGGTTTTAGAACGGGTTGAGCAGAGGGGCCATACGTGTGATGTTGGGCAAATAGAATATGCTGCCTGTCACTGGTGTGCACTCGCCAACACCCTGCTGCCTATCTCCGCTCAAGTTGTTTTTGGTCTGAAGCAGGCCTGATGGGCCCCCCGGCGGCCCTCATCAGTCACCTCCAGACCGCTGGGATACGTGCTCTGGAACTGCTGGCGCTGCGGCAGTCGATCATCTCGGGGGTGCCGCCGTGCCCGGCAGTGTCGCTGGCGTGCCCGCTGGCGAACCTGACCTGCCCGCCGCAGGTCTGCCCGGCGCTGACGTGCGCGCCGCCGCCCTGCCCTCCTCCAGTGTGCCCGGCGCCGCTGGTCAACCTCTCCTGCCCGTCTGCAGGGGGAATCGTGGGAGCCGGCGAGTTCGACTCACCCTCGGCGTGCTGGGGGACTCTCGCTGGGATCGCGGCTGGGCTGGGGCTCGGCCGCGCCGCCCCGCGCCGCGGGCGTGCTGCTGACGCCGAGAGAGATGATGATCGCGCACCGTCCCCTGCCCCCGCTCGCCGCGGAGGGGGAGTGGTGCGCTGACTTGGCGGTCGGCACGCTGGTCCGGGTCTCCTACGCCGGGGAGACCATGGACCACACGAGGGTCGTGCTGTGGCCCAGCCGCCGCATGGACCAGAGGCGACGAGTCCGAGGGCGACACGCCTACTGGGTGCTCTCCGCGGACGGCGACGTCTGGGAGGAGGACCTGAGCGGGAGGAATGCAGCGACTGGGCCGTCGGGCGGGTCGCTGCTGGACCAGGCGACGGGGAACCCGCCCGACGGCCGCCGCCTCTATCGGTTCCGTGCGCGGCCCAGCCTGGACGAGGTTGTGGAGCTGGCGGCGGAGTGTCGGGCCACTATGCTCAGGCGTGGGCAGGCCGAGGCGGAGGGGCCGACGAGAGTGGTGCTGGCCGACGGGGCGGTGCGCCCCGGCCACGACTACTTCCCGTGGCTGGTGGCCCCGCGCCCGTGGGTGCTGACGGAGCCGCTCCCTGGCATGCCCATCGGGACCGTGGTGGATCCGCTCCCGGTGGGGGCGCTGCGCGACGGGAGCCGGGCCCTCGGCCTGCTCCCGAGCTGCGGCCGCTGGGCGAGGCTCGAGCAGGTAAACGAGGGCCAGATCGTCGAGTGGGCTGCCAAGAGGACGAAGGAGCTGCTGCTCGACCTCGGCGCGGAGCCCGACGCCATGGGCGCCGCCGAGCCGGTCGGCGGGACTGAGACCCCTCCGCTGCGCGAGGCTCGCTCGTCTGGAGGCGACCGCCTAGGCGAGAAGCTGGGGCTGACCGCGGAGGAGCCTGCCGAGTCGGCCGCAGGGAAGGACGACGCCAGCGGCGACGCGCGCACGCTGTGGGTCGACTGGGACGAGCAGGGCGAACGCAGGAAGGAGTTCAAGCGGGCGGTGGCTGAGAGCTCGGATGTGAAGTGGGACCATCACAGGCTGCCCGCCGACCGCACTTGCCTCCACACGTGCAAGATGATGGTGAACTTGAGTGGGTCCCCGCGCGCATGGCTGGAGCGCTTTCTCAGGGAAAAGGGGATAGCTTCTACGGATCGAGTTGCGCACGAACTCCGAGTGTTGTGCGACATCCTGGAGGAAGCAGGCGAGTTTGACCAGATCAATCTCGGAGGACTGGCCTGCTTGGAAGTGGCCGCCCGCCGGCTGAACCTGCTGGTGGACGCGCACAAGAGCGGGCCGGCCTCGTACTCGAACGCGAAGTACCTCTCGCCGCTGACCGACGTGGACCAGTTGATGGCTCCTGGCTTGCGGTCTCACGTGTCGAGGCGCGCCAAGGAGGAGTACGAGCTGATGCAGGGCGACAGGAAGGCCGAGGCGGTTGCTGCTGGGGCGGCTGGCGCGCGGGTTCCACCGCGCGAGGGGGCCGATGACTCGGCCAAGGGTGGCAAGGGCGGCGGCGGGGGCGGCCGGGGTAACAAGACCCGGGCGCGAGCCCTCGCGCCGCCCGTGCAGGCATGACGGACCAGTCTCAGCCGGCGGAGTGGGCCCCTGCCGGCTGGGCTAACACATCGGCCCGGCGAGCGCCGCTGGCCCTGGCGAGCGGGGATAGGGACCTCTTCCCCCTCCCTCGCCTGGCCAGGCCGCCCGCCAGCAGGGGCGGCAGCCGCGCCCGGATTGCTGGCGCTCGGCGGCGGCGCGAGCACGAATTGGTGAACGGCGCGATCGACTCTCTCAACTGGCTTGCTGGATGGGAGCCTGACGACGTGGGCCCGCCGCGCTCCCTGGACGCCATGGGGGGCAAGCATGCTGGGATCGTGCAGTGGGTGGCCAGCGAAGCTCTTCGGCGCCAAGCCGCAGCTCCCAGCCCCTGTCCGTCCCAAGAGGCATCGCTCAGTGCGTTGCTCAAGGGGTGCTCGATCTACGACACGTCGGGCTCCCCGAGGAACCTGGCCTCCTTCGTCCGCGAGCGCGTGTCCTTGCCCCCTTCGGTTGTCGGCTGCCTCCAGGTGGACGATATCGTGGGCGAGGCCGGCCGCACCTACCTGAAGGAGAATCAAAAGCGTATGAGGCGGCCGATCGAGGAGATCGATTTTGACAGCTTGCCGACTCCCTATTTTGACCCGCTGCTGAAGCGGAACAAGAAGATGTACCACAACTTTTTGAAGGATCTCTCGTCCCGCGGGCTCTTGCTCGCCACCTTGTCTCCCGCAGAGCAGGCTGGCCTGTTCTTCGTGAAGAAGGCCGACAGCGACAAGATGCGCATGATCGTGGATGCGCGCCGGGCGAACGCTTGGTTCGGCGTGCCCCCCAGCGTCCAGCTCCTGTCGTGCGAGGGGTTCGGCAGGGTGGAGGTGAAGCTCCCAGAGGGCGTCGCCTTCGGCTCGGCGCGGGGAGAGGAGCTGCTGAACGGCTTCAAGCTCTTCTTGGGCATGACGGACGTCAAGGACTGCTTCTACAGGATGCGCATCCCGGTGAGCCTGGCGAAGTTCTTCTCGCTGCCCGCCGCCCCGGCTCACGTCCTGGGCCTGGAGGGGCACGAGCTGGAGGGGACGAGGCTGGGCTGCGACACCCTCGTCTTCCCCTGCATCGGGGCTCTCCCCATGGGGTTCTCTTGGTCCCTTTTCCTCGCCCAAGACGCGAACGAGGAGAGGGTCGTCCGGTCTGATCCGTGGCCAGGGGGAAACATGGCAGTCTCGGAGCGGGTCCTGATGAGTGATCGCGGACCGCCGCTCGTCGTGGAGGTTGAGCCCGGGCTGCACGGGGGTGCCTACGTGTACGTCGACAACATGGGGGTGCTCGCCCCCTCGGAGGGCCTCGCTAAGAGCGCCCTCGAGAGCTGGACTGGTCTCTTCGAGGGGGTCGGCCTTGACTTGCACAAGAGCTCGGTGGGCTCGGGCGCGTGCGAGGCGCTCGGGACCAAGCTTGACCTCGAGCTGATGAGGTCGGGCGTGAGCGACGGACGGTTCTGGAAGGTGTACCTGGGACTGGGGGGCCTGCTAGCCCGCGGCCGAGCGACAGGGCGCGCCTTGGAGGTGGTGCTGGGCCACTGCACCTTCTGCGGGCTGGCGCTCCGAGGGTCTCTGAGTTGCTGGCACGCCTCGTACCGCTTCATCCAGCGGCACTACCTGGAGCCCGCCCGGCTGTGGGCAGAAGTCGTGAAGGAGATCAAGATGTTCCGCGGGCTGCTCACCCTGATGGTTCAGGACTGGTGGCGGCCATGGAACTGCTGCGTGCTCCAGACCGACGCGAGCGAGAGCGGCTGGGGCATGGCGCAGTCGTTCTGGCCGCAGCACGTGGTGGAGCAGGTTGGCCGGCTGCCTGAGCGAGCCCGTTTTCGTTCGGCGCTGGGCAGACCGGCGCGAGAGAGCGCGCTCGCTGCAGCCAACCTTGCTCGGGACAGCTCGGGCGCCCTGTGCAGTTTTGAGGACATGAAGAATCCTGACTCTCTTGCGTCTGACCCCCTGTCCTCGTGGGAGCTCGACCCCGGGTTCGCTGAAGTGCCCTGGCAGTGGCTCCGAAAGGGGGCCTGGGAGACCGTCCGGTCCGGGGTCTGGCGTTTTGCTGAGGACATCCTGATCCTTGAAGCCAGGGCCCTCGTAAAATCGATCCAGCGGCTGGCAAAGACCGCGCACGGGGTCTGTGTGCGACAGCTCTTTCTGTCCGACAATATGTCTGTGGTGCTATCCTTTTCCAGGGCTCGTTCGTCCCGCTTCAGCTTGCTGGTTCAGATCCGTCGATTCTACGCCTATGCGATTGCGTTGGGGCTTACGCCCGCTATTCGATGGATCCCCTCGGAGTTTAATGAAAGCGATGAAGGCAGCAGGGTTTTTTCTGAGAGTGACAGTAATATTCTCACATCCCTCTTGGATGAGAAGTTCCAGGCCGATCTGAATCTGCTCACCCGTCCTCCAAGAGCCGTCCCTGTGAAAGACAATACGCGGGATCCTCTCCGTAGCCGTTTTGGCCC